AGCGGGAACGACAAAGAGGAGATGAATGAACGTGCGTACGCGGCAGAAAGAGAGAGAGACGCGACGATGACGGGCGGCCGCGGTAGGTTAAGATAGAGGGAGACGGAGGTTCGAATGAATGAACGGTGCACGACGAGGATAGAATTAATGAGTGGGATAAATATAGAAGCGTGTAACGCGGCAGAACGAGACGACCTATCTCTTCCTCTCCTTCCGTTTTCTATCTGCACGCCTCTCTCTCTCTCTCTCTCTCTCCCAGCTCTCAACTGTGTCGCGATCGAACCACTGTATACTCGCGCTCTCTCTGCACAATCTCTGACTACCGCTGCTGCTGCCGCCGCTGCCTGCTGCTGCTGCTGCTGCTAGATACATATACAAGTCGAAACGAAACGGAACGAAAGGATTCTTCGTCGTACTACGGACTCTACGCACACTGCGACACACTTGGTACTGAATCAACGCTATAGCGTGGTGAACATGCTAGACCAACTTATATTGATAGTATAGTACGCGCTTGGAATTCATTCAAGCGTGATCCTAGAAGCCTGACAGCGTCCACACGGTCTTTACGGCCTCTCTCTTGCTGGCTCTCTAGAACTTCTACCTGTAGCTGAATAGTTTCTTTTCTCTTTTTTTTTTAAACTTCGTCCGGGAGATCTTTGTGAGCGATGTGTACGCGTTTCCATTGGAAATATTAATCGAGGAATAGCAATAGAATTTTTTTTCGTGTATTTTTAGTGAAATCTTTTGAGAACAGCGACACAGTGAATTAGGTATCGATTATTGAGCGCAAACGTGACGATAACCTTCGATCTAGTAACGGAATATTCGCGACGATTTTTCGCCAGGAATAATTAATATTAATGGGAGCGACGTGTGAAATAATGGAACAGATACCGTAATCCTTGTAGGTGAAGAGAGATCGTAGTAGTAGGGTGGGTAGTGGCACGCGGTCAGGTGATTAAATAAACTCGTCGAAAGATGCAACCTGGTTACTTAATAAGCCTTGGTTGATTCCTCTGTGTTGGAGAATGGCATCGTTATTAAAACGACGTAGGTAACGGTACCGATTTATTCTTTCATTTATACCAATCTCTATTCCCCGCTATTCGAGGCTTGGACGATTCCTACGGATACGTCTGTCTGCCTTAAAATGCAGCTGGCTGGCTGCACCGTTGATAGGAAATGCGCGAAGATAAAAAAAAAGAAAGAAAAGGAGCACTGCACGATGACGGTATACGAGGTCTAAAGTGACACCGGGCTAGAATCCTTTATCCGGTGAAGTTACCGGAGACCCTTTGGTGCCGAGTAAACGCGCGCAAGACCTGGGGTATACGCATTAAATTCGGTCGATAACTCCGCATGCAACGGCACATCGAACTCCCACGTGTGTGCGTGTGTGTGTGTGTAGAGAGAGAGCACGTTTGACAGGGATGAAAAAAAAAAAATCACGGCGCAAGCATTGCCACCTCCAGCGAGGCGACCGACGACCGTCACTGTCGCCGCGCCGACGCTGTCGGTGGTATACACGGTGACGACATAGGTAATGTTTTCATTCAATCTAAAGCTTCAATGATAGCTTCCGCCCATTCATAAAAAGCTTCGTGTTGCGAACGAGTCGTTGGCCACGATATCGCCAGATGGCATACCGTGCACGGAACTCGACCGGCCCTCCTCTCTCTCTCTCTCTCTCTCTCTCTTTCTCTCGCTCTATCCGAACCATTCGAGCTCCTTCTCGCTCCCTCTCTCTATACTTTTTCTCTTCCATCCCCTCGCCCGGTTGTCGCCATTCATGGCTTCCTTCCCACCTTCTCTCTTCCTGCTTTCCCTCCCCGCAGCTCTCCCATCCTTTCGTCCTACTGCCTCTCGGCACGTTCCCCCTCCCTTCCGCTCCTCGCGACTGGCTCGCTCACTCGGTGTGCTTCTCTCGCTCTCTCTCATCCGTCGTCCCTCTGACTTACCCCCCCCATCGCGTCGCCCCTCTTACGCGTCGCCCAATCGGTGCCGCGCTCCCCCTTCCCCTCCGTTCAGCCAGCTCGACTGGCTCACAGCGAGCTCATTGTCAGTCGTTCGCCAGCAATTGCCGTGTTGATCTCGGCTTTTGACGTTTTCCTGTTTCTTTCTCGCGAGACATCCATTCATTCCTTCACACTCTCTCTCGCTCTCCTTCGTGATTGTACACTTCCGTGTATAAGCTGCTGCCCGTTGATCATCGTCACGTTATTACCAAGGAGATAATAAAACGAGAACGTGGGGAGTGTTCCGGGATATTTTCCTCTCTCGCGTGGCTCGAAGGGAAAAGACGAAAGAGAGAAAGAAAAAACTGGAAACCGTGTGAAGTTTAACGAACGTTTTCGTGGAAAGGAACTCCCGTTCTTCGAAGAATTGATCGTTAAGCGAGAGACGCCTGCGGCGGATGCGCATTAATACGGTATACAGAAGTATGCGCGGGATGCGTTCGAATACGAGAGGAAGCTCCGGTGGAATCGACTGAAATTGTCGCGACGCGTGCGAACAGTCGAACCTGCGAAAAGATCGAGGGAGAGAGAGAAAAAAGGTGGTGTGGACGAGGAAATGAGAGTAGCACGAGGACTGGAGCGATCAGAGGGCGACGAGCAGCTGCCGTACGCTGGAATTCGAGGACGTTCCTAGATCCGTCGAGCCGTGTTCCAACGGAATTGCCGTTCCGGAGCCGCTGTTGCTTGCTGCTGTCGTGTTAGTGCGCGTGCGTGCTCTGAGCCAGCAGACACGCCTCCGAAGAATCCCGTCGGCCCCGGCGTGGGCGAGCCCACGTTCTTTTCTGGATTTTCGCTAGTCCCATGAATTTTCAGTAAGTCCAATTTTCTTCAGTCGATCGTCGGCATTTCCTTTCCATTCTCCGTTTACTTCTTTTTCTGCTCTGGTCGGTAATTTGCTGCCATTAAACCAAAGAATCGTTGTAGAAGTTGGGAAATAGGAATTGTGACGTTTACTTCGATGTGTGAGGAAAAATTGAAGTTTTTCTTAAGTTTATTCTTGGTAATTTTGTCGCGTGATACGGATGTTACCGTCGTGAACGTTAGGATCGAAGGAAAATTGTCTACGTAAAGCGTGTAATACGCGAGGTCGCGGAGACCGCAACATCAGATAACTTTATTGAACGGAAATACGCGCGTGACGAGGAAGCACGTCCGGTCTTATCGCGGACACTTCCGCCGGCAGTTGAAACGTATATCTGGACCGGAACGTCGTTTAAAAAAATTGCGTTTTTTAAAGATGTGACATACTCGAAACATCCTGTCGAACGTATAAACGGCAACTCTTAAACGAGAGAAAAGCAAATAAAACGTTGGACTTATGTTTTTAATCCGCGAAACAATTTCTCTCTATTTGTGACTTTTCTCCTGGAACACTTTATCGCGCGTCACGTTCGGTTTACAAACAGCGAGGATTATCGTTGGTGCACGCGACAAAACAACGCGACGAGAGATGAAGGAAATGGACGTGCGATAGTCGTTTCGAACGTATCATCGTCGTTACCGTAATCACGATGATCGTGTCACAATTACGCGATTGGCACTCTTCCCTGAAGCCCTCTCTCTCGCTATATACCTCCAGCGTGATGATTCATAATTGATTCGTGACTTACCTTATCGTTACTCGGAAGGCACACGCTTATTCACCATATCACCTATCCTGTTCGTTTCACCGAATATCTCTCGTAGCGTGACAAGACCAAATTCCAAGCCTTACACGTACGCTCTTTCCTTTCACCGTAGTGTTTTTCAATGAAAATTCTCCCCGATACTGGATCGACCACGCTAGAAACCCATCAGCCGGCGAATCTTTCTCTATCTGTACGTAGGAGGGAGATAGAGAAGAGAGAAGGAGAAACGAGCGCCGGGTGTGCACAAGCTCACAAAACGTTTCTGTTATCTGCTCTCGGCCGGCGTATAGAGCGACTAAAAGCTCTGACCTATGGCAGTCGGTCGCGGCGGCGATAGGCCGCGCGCATTCCTCTCCGAGTGCGCACCCTCTGAATGGCCCGGCTGTTCCTTCACGAACACGGCCGTGTCGTCGACGCGTGTGTTCGTTAGCCTCCACGCGTATCTGCCTCTCTCGGTTCACACGTGTTCCCCGACGCTTGGAATTCTCTCGATTCTTGCTGTGTAAATATTCCTTGCGCACTCTCTCTACGATCGATGCGTTCATTTTTTCCCCTCTTTTGAACGCGCCTCGAGAGTTGAACGGTGTTGTATACGGTAGAAGTTCTCCTCCCGTGGTAATTGTTGCGAAAACGAAGGTGTACGAACGCGACAGGGCATAATGCATTCGATTTCGTAAGCGTCGGGGCGCCGCCGGCATCGTCGTACGATACTGGTATATACAGCTACACAGCGGATGCGTGTAGGACGCGAGGCGATCGGTCTCGTGCGAGCAAACGTCGTTTCTTCCAGTTCTGTAGGCTCCTCGAGAGTGGGTCGAGAGGCATGTTCGCTGGATTACCAGCCAGATTTAATGTCATCGAGTTTCCGTGCGTTCCATGCTTTCCAACTTACGTTCGGAAAACGTGTCGACGATTCGAACCAAGGTAGAGAGATAAAGGGATGGGATCTACACTAGTAGACGAGGTGTAGGTAAGTAGATGCGCCGCGGAGGACACGCAGCTCGGTCTCGGTCGAACAAAACGCTCGATTCTTCCAGAACTGTGGGCGCTTCGAGTGGGCCGGTGACCACTGAATCAAGAGGCCCGGTGCACACAGGCCACGGGCGCCCACTCGTGCCGCGTTCGCCCACGTACGGAGACCAAACCTACCTCGAAGCCACGTAGGTAGTGCCGCGTACATGGCATTCTTCGTGTCCGTCGAGGTGTGATCCGAATATCGCTTTCGACTCTGTGTCCATTCAAGTCCCTCCTACTACTCTCCTAGAATTCCACTCCGTTTCGTACAGTAAGATTTTTTCGTAAGAAACCTAAAGAGAATATAGAAGGAACTCTAATAGACGTTGCAACGTTTCAGGTGGGGATGAAGCGCGTGTCGCGAGGGCGAGAGGAAGCGGACGCGGAGCATTACCGAGCCTCGTCCTCGCTAATGGAACGCCCTTGTCGAGAGTGCCACCACCTCGCGCGGGCTGGGCAGTGCGGATCAACGAGGCGACACTTACTACCCCAAATCCTCAACAGCAGCAACACTATCTCCAGCAACACCTCCGCCATCCATCGAGTCCAGGTACACCGAGAGCCGTCGAACAATGGGCTAGCGAGCGGGCAGCGTCGTCGGCTTTGTCGGTTCGTCGTTCCACATCACCATCCTCGCCAGAAGCAGCAACGAGACAGGGAACAACAGGATCGTCGAGAAGGCTCCTCTCTAGGGCAGCCGCCGGTGGAGGAGGAGGAGGAGGAGGAACCGGAAGCGGAGGAAGAGTCGGCGGAGAAGAAGGCGGCGCAAAGGTCAGCGATACTGGTGCTCGTTTCGCGAGTCACTGGCAGGAGGAGGAAGAGCTGGAGGCGAAGAAGGAGGAGGAGGAGCAGCACCGGAAGCAGCGTCGCGTGGATCTTGAACTGAGAGGTCGGCCGATGTCGCAGAACAATGCGATCCCGCCGCTCGCGCGGCCACCCTCCTCCCCGCAGACGAACGCAAACAGCCTCGACGCACCAGCCACCGACGTATCCGCCACGACGAACAACAACGCCGACGACGGAGATCATCACCATCAACAGCACCAGAACGCAACAGTTTCTGCCCGTGTCCACGACCATAATCGGCCATTTCCACCGCCTAGAGTACCCATTGTCCACGTTGCCGCGGCAGCTGCTAGCACCGCGCCAGCACCAGCCATCTCGACAGGTCCGTCGAATCCGAGAGTACCGGTCACTGCACCGCTCAGTCCCCTCTCGAGCACCTTCCGAAGCAGACCTCGAAACGTCGACACCTCCAACGAGACGAACGACACACCACCGAGAAGTCCTATCGGCGAGGTGAGCCTGACCGTACCGAGACCGGATGGCGAACGTGCCATCAACGAGTACGTCGAGGCTCCGTTCAAGCAACACTGCAACCAGGAGCAACGGAACCGTTTCGACGACGAGAACAAACGGGGGATCGATTGCCCGAAGATCGACCGAAGGCATCGACAGAACAAAGGTGCCTTCACCGGTTCCTCCGTAGCAGCGACTCATCGATTGCACGCGAGCAGGAATCAAGCGTTTCGCGGAGGACTGAATACGAGCAGCGGGGCGAACGCGACCCCGTCGGCTGGTTCGATAGCCGCGAACACGACGCAACCGAACGCCGTTACCAAGCAACCAGTCTCGTTCACCAAGGAACCGGCGAACAGTCTCGCCTCGAGGACCTACGACCCGGCCGGTTTGTCCATCATGTGCAATTTCTGCGGCAGATGTCGATGCGAGTCGTGTAGAGAACCACCGCCGTTGCCTAGCAAATGGTTGTGCGACAACAAGTGTTTCTGCTCGGCCGACACCATATTGGACTACGCCTCATGTCTGTGCTGCGTGAAAGGACTGTTCTATCACTGCGTGGACGGAAGTAACGGGGGCGGTATCGACGGCGAGGCGGCCGGAAGCTGCGCGGACGAGCCGTGCTCGTGCACAGGGAACAGGAGGGCGTCCAGGTGGGCCTGTCTCGGCGCGCTCACCCTCGTCATGCCGTGTTTATTGTGCTACTGGCCGTTCAAGGGTTGCGTCGCGTTGTGCGAGACGTGCTACGCGAGGCACGCGGCCCAAGGCTGCAGATGCAACCCGAACACCATCGGCAATTCCGCGAACAGGCATCATCCGATGTCGGGGAACGATATCGGTGACTCGAGGGATCCGGAGAAGAGGTTGCTCGACCCTGTCACACCGGAACTCTAACCTCGTGGATGAACTCTCGAATAATTGGTGTATATCGCAAAGGGGGACACGATATACGTATATCGTCGGCTCTTATTAGGCTATCGAGAGAGAGAGAGAGAGAGAGAGAGAGAGGGAGCAAAGTGAATTGCATTAAGTACAAGAGTTGCATTTAAGTCGAAGAAACGAAGATGCGTTGGAAGATTCTGACGGATTTTCCTTTTTTTTGCTGTAGTACGCCTGACGCGAGTCGCGAGTGTTTTATTTATTATTCTTCCATGCGCGCGCGAGAGTGCGGAGCGAGAAAG